ACTTTCATGGATTTGATGAATCGGGTTTTCTGACCATATTTGGATCAATTTGTGGTGGTCTTCATTGATGATATTCTGATATATTCTTGTACTGAGGCAGAGCATGACGAGCATTTGAAGATCGTTCTGCAGACTTTGAGAGAGCATCGTCTTTATGTCAAACTAAGCAAGTGTGGGTTTTGGCTTCAAGAAGTGTCGTTTCTGAGGCATATTATTAACAAGATAGAGGCTATTATGAATTGGAAACGACCTAAGAACGTATCTGAGATCCGCAGTTTCTTGGGCTTGGCTGGTTATTATCGACGTTTTGTTGAGGACTTCTCGATCATTGCTTCTCCTTTGACAAAATTGTTAAGGAAAAATGTGATGTTTGATTGGGGCGAGGCACAACAGGAGAGCTTTGAGAAATTAAAGGCGATTTTGACTCAAGCACCGGTGTTGATTCAACTAGAGTCCGGGAAGGATTTTACAATGTATAGTGATGTGTCACATTCAGGACTTGGTTGTGTTCTAATGCAGGAAGGTAAGGTGGTGGCTTATGCATCCCGTCAGCTGCGACCGCATGAGTGTAATTATCCTACTCACGATTTGGAGTTAGCAGCAGTGATTTTTGCCTTGAAGATTTGGAGGCACTATCTTTATGGAGTGAAGTGTTACATTTTCACGGATCATACGAGTTTAAAGTATCTTTTGACCCAGAAGGAGCTTAATTTAAGACAGCGACGCTGGCTAGAGCTTCTAAAGGATTATGATTGTGTGATTGATTATCACCCTGGTAAAGGTAACATTGTAGCGGATGCTTTGAGTCAAAAGACGGTATCGGAGTTGAGGTCTTTAATGGCCAGGATGAATTTATATGACGATGGCACTATGTTAGCAGAATTGCAAGTTAAGCCAACCTTGGTTGATGAGATCAAAGCTAAGCAGCCCCTTGATAGCTCCTTCTTTCCCATCATTAAGCAAGTAGAGCATGGGACAAACTCAGATTACGCAATTGATCAAGATGAAGTTTTATGCTTTAAAGGTTGGTATTGTGTGCCTGGTGATGCTGAGTTGAGGAAGACTATCCTTACTGGGGCTCATAGTAGTCCATATGCTATGCACCCCGGTGGAGATAAGATGTATCGGAATTTGAGAGAGAGGTATCATTGGGTCGGCATGAAGAAAGACATCTCGAATTTTGTGGCTAGGTGTTTGACTTGTCAGCAAGTTAAGGCAGAACATCAACATCCATCAGGTTTGTTACAACCTATCAAGATTCCTGAATGGAAATGGGAGCGTATTACTATGGATTTTGTTACTGGTTTACCTATGACTCCTTCGAAAAAGGATTCAGTTTGGGTGATTGTCGATAGACTTATAAAGTCAGCTCACTTCATTCCTGTGCGGGTAAAATATACTTTAGACAAGCTGGCGAGATTGTATATTTCAGAGATTGTCCGATTACATGGTGTTCCGGTGTCTATTATTTCTGATCGAGATCCGAGATTTACTTCGAGATTTTGGAAGGCGCTACATACGGCTTTGGGAACAAGATTGGATTATAGCACATCCTTTCATCCACAAACTGATGGTCAATCTGAGAGAGTGATTCAGATTTTGGAGGATATGTTACGGAGTTGTGTAATGGATTTTCATGGTAGCTGGGAGAACTTTTTGTCTTTGGCTGAATTTGCTTACAATAACAGTTACCATACAAGCATTCGTATGGCACCCTATGAAACACTCTATGGGCGTAGATGTCGCACCCCGATTTGTTGGACTGAGTTGCATGATAGGAAGACTTTGGGACCTAAGTTAGTGCGAGAGACGGATGATACAGTCAGATTGATCTGTGACCGTCTGAAAGAGGCATTTGATAGGCATAAGTCTTATGCAGAACAGAGAAGGAAAGATATACAGTTTGAGGTTAGAGATCATGTCTTTTTAAAAGTTTCACCTTGGAAGAAAGTATTGAGATTTAGGCGTAAGGGTAAATTGAGTCCAAGATTTTTGGACCATTTCGTATCTTGAAGAGGGTAGGACCTGTTGCATATCAGCTTGAGTTGCCTCCTGAGCTCAGTCGTATTCATGATGTCTTTCATGTATCAATGTTGAGGCGATACCGTCCAGATCCAGGTCACATCATTCAGGTTGAGGAAGTAGAGCTGAGACCTGATTTGTCATATGAGGAGGAGCCCATTCAAATCTTAGAAAGAGATGAGCGAGTTCTTCAGAATAGACGTATTTCAATGGTCAAAGTTCAATGGAGTAATCGAGGTCCTCAGAAGCTACTTGGGAGACGTTGGAGTCAATGGAGGCTCAGTTTCCTCAACTATTCTCAAAAGGTAAATTTCGAGGACTAAATTTCTTGTAGAGGGGGAGAATTGTAACAATCCTGGAAAAAAATTATAATTGTGTAAATTGGTGAAATTTTGGGACTAAATTGAAAGTTTTCAAAACTTGTATCCTGTTTTAGAGTTGAAGAAAATTCAGGGACCAATCCCTGAATTTACCCAAAAAGTGTCGGCAGCATTTTCTATTAAATGAAACGAATTGGTTTCTGCGTGAAAACACAGAAACCAACTCATAAAATTCTCCTCCCGCACCTCTGCTTTGAAGCCCGATTTCGACACCGTCTGACCTCCAACCGTCAAATTGAAACCACCATCGTGTTCATCTTCGACTCGTGAACAAAGCCCAGTAAACCAATTATAGCGAAACGCTGCCAAACGCCGTGAATTTCAAGTCAAAGTCTCGACATGTTTTTAGCACCACCGCCGAGAAAATCATAAATTCATCTCCGATCGTTGATCCGTTTTCGACACCTCCCGCATCATCGTGTTCCTTGCATCGTTCCGAGTCCACCGGTGTTCACCGTTTCTCCGTCGTCGCTGGCGAGTGGAGGGGTGAAGTGGTCAAAGTTTCGGATTTGTTGAAATCGAGCTCTCCACCGTTCAAAATTTTGAACCGAGCTTTGTAAGTATCTCAAAATCGTTTAAAATAATTTTTGGACATTTTTCGGGAATTTTTAGGACACCGGGGAGCTTCAAAACAGTGGTTGACCGGTTTGGGTGTTAGTTTAGTAAATATTTTAAGAAGATGGCTAGATTGGTAAATAATTGTTGTTAGGTGATATTTTGGGAAATATTTCGATAAAGGTGACATTTTGGGAATTATTTTGTAAAGGTGACATTATAGGAAATATTTCGAAAAAGGTAACATATTGGGAATTATTTCGTAAAAGGTGACACTCAAGGAATTATTTTAAAAAAGTGACATTTTGGGAATTTTCAAATGTTTGACAGTTTGTTGACCTCCTTGACCAGAACTTTGACCGGTTTTGACCGGCTATTAAACGATCGTTAATCTTTTCCGAAAGTACTTATCTTGACAGTTTTCGACGTCCCGAATCCATTTTTGGGGTCCGTTTCACCAAATTCGAACTTGAAAGTCTCTAAATCAACGGTCAAAGTGGTTGACTTTGACTTTGATAAAGAATTTGAACTTTCGAAAAGTCATACTTTATGTTTATCGACGTCCTGATTCCGATTCCGTAATCCGTTTGGCCAAATTCAGACTCGAAATATCCCAAATTGATAGTCGAACCCAGAAAATGTTTATATACTTAAGAAGTCTAGTTTTGAACAATTAAGTAAGATTTGAGACTGATAGATTATTATTATTTGAAGGTACAAGAGACTCTCCGGATCGTTCGATAGCTCGACCCAACTCTTCTAGATCTGTTAAACCACGTATACCAGTATTCACCTGTTCGAAAACTGTAACAGAGCGTGGTGAAACCAGCAATCAGTAGATCTACTATCTGAACCCATTATCGAGGTGTGTTCCTGTTTACTACATAATGGTTTTATATGTTTTGAAATATGGTATATTAAAATCTATGGATTATTATTGTTGGTACACCGATTTATTGTTGATGATTTATAGACTTTGATGACTGGTATATGGATATTGATTTTTGGATGGATTGAACTACAATTGTATAGCTCTGATCAAGCTAATAAACGGGCCTAATGTGACTCTTGAGGGCCCCAAGATGTTTCATTAGGTCGGCTTTCCTTTGTTGTGTGCTTAGGGTAAGCTATATGGACTTATTGACTTGGGTCTAAGGATACAAGCTTCATAGTCTATCCTTAAGTCGGCTTTCTTTTTGCTATGTGCATAAAGTAAGTTATATGGAACATAATTTTGGGAACTACTGATGGTGTATCAGAAAAGAGTTTAAACTATGATTTTCAAAAGTTAAATTCTTTTACGAATTTGTGAGATTTACTGAACTATGATTTGTTTAATGTACATATTGTGATTTTATGGTAATGTTGGGACACACTGAGCCTAGTTCACATTTCGAAAATATTTTTTCCCCTTTCAGATACTGTTGGTTAGATACAACGGTTCGAGCACTTGGAGGATCAACATATCTCTTGAAATATATCTGACTGTTATGTTTTATCTTGCTAGTTGACATTATTTTGGTGACATGGACCTTATTTTAAAGTATCGTATTTTAAGATGATGACACTTTTACTATTACTATTCGGTTTATTGTGATTTTGATTTTGAAGACCTGTTTTAAATTAATTTATTATTTATTGGTATTATATTTACAAGTTGGGTTTTGATAGTATAATATCATGTTATTTAAAATGTGATTTTACAATGATTGAATAACGGTTTCAGAAAATATCTTTAAGAATCATGAATATGATCAACTAGACTTAGTCAAAACGCATAGGCCGGATCTAAGGGTTACAGGACATGAAAATATTTCGAATCCGAGTTTACAAATTAAAAAAAACGTGGGACCGACAAAACAGTTATTTTCGACCGCGCAGTTTGTCTTTATCTCATTCATGTCCTCATCCACATGAGGTGTACTTTAGTATTCCTCCGTTTACACCTTCTAACCTGGGCCACATTTTTCCCATCCTTCATCCTCACCACACATCGCACGCTCGTATAACAATAACCTACGTATTATTTTTATTGCTGTGAGCTTAATCATATGCTCTATCTGGTTCTTATGAACTTGTATAATTAAGCCCAACAACTTGATGATGAGTTGAAGAGAAGGAAAAAGAAGGTGGGAACAGAGGATCTTTGGAGTGGAAAATCGATTAAGAGTTGTTGTTTTCTTTATTTAGTTGGTTTAAATCGAGTTTGGTTTGTGATATGAATTTTGTGTGTTTTTGGGTTGTTCTTCAAGAGGATCTGTTTTAAGCTTTGGGTTTCTGTTCTTTATTCTTTAGAGGAGGAGGTAAATGGCTAGAAGTAATGAAGTCAACCTCAATGAATGCAAGGTTCGATCTTTTTTTCCCTGTTTAATTTGTCAATTTCTATAACTTCTATCTAGAATTGGATCGTCAAAGTTGGACTGTAATCTGTTTTTGATATGTTCTCCGGCCCGAGTTTAGCTGATTTTCTTCTTTACAACTTGTAGTATTATCATGTATTCTCTACTGAAGATCTTCTATTAATTGTTTTATTTGGGAGACTTGATTAGATTTTGAATATAATATAAATTAGTGAAGGAATCTCACATGTTCTTGTTTTGGATCGCCTTGCTTTCACTTGAAATTACTTTGTGGAAAATTATGGAGTTCTTATCTAGCATCATAGCATATGTTCTTTGTGTTGATGTTTTTAATCTTTGCCTTTGTCTCTGAATAGATGGTGGTTCCCCTAAATACGTGGGTCCTCATCTCCAATTTTAAGTTGGCTTACAATCTTCTTCGTCGACCTGATGGCACTTTCAATCGTCACTTGGCAGAGTTTCTCGATCGAAAAGTCCCGGCTAACGCCAACCCGGTCGATGGGGTTTTCTCGTTTGATGTCCTCATCGATCGTGGTACGAGTCTCCTCAGCCGGATCTATAGACCGGCTACAGCTGAAGAGCCTCAGCCGAACGTTGCTGAACTTGAGAAGCCTGTTACAGCTGAGGTTGTCCCTGTTATTATTTTCTTTCATGGTGGAAGCTTTGCTCATTCCTCGGCTAACAGCGCCATCTACGACACTCTGTGTCGGCGATTGGTAGGTCTTTGTAAGGCTGTTGTGCTATCTGTGAATTATCGACGTGCACCGGAGAATAGATACCCTTGTGCTTATGATGATGGGTGGACTGCTCTTAAGTGGGTTAACTCAAGACCATGGCTTCAAAGTCAAAAAGATTCAAAGGTTCATATATATCTAGCTGGAGATAGCTCTGGTGGTAACATTGTGCACCATGTTGCTTTGCGAGCCATGGAATCGGGAACACATGTATTGGGAAACATATTGCTCAATCCAATGTTTGGGGGACAAGAAAGAACCGAATCCGAACAGCGTTTAGATGGGAAATACTTTGTTACCCTACGAGACCGAGACTGGTATTGGAGAGCTTACCTCCCTGAAGGTGAAGACAGAGACCATCATGCATGTAACCCGTTTGGACCTAACGGTAGAAGTCTTGAAGGAATCAAATTCCCGAAGAGTCTTGTCGTGGTTGCCGGTTTGGACCTTATTCAGGATTGGCAATTGGCTTATGTTGAAGGGCTCAAAAAAGCCGACCAAGAGGTTAAACTTTTATATATGGAACAGGCCACGATCGGCTTTTACTTGTTGCCGAATAACAACCACTTCCATACCGTTATGGATGAGATAAGCAAGTTTGTAGGTTCTGATTGTTAATAGAATTAACCTTGATCACATTCCTTCACTTGTGGCGATCGACAAGTTTGCAGTTTATGATTGTGTATTACCACTAATTACTGTCATATTAATGCTGGTGTTATTTGGCTCCTTGTTTTCGGATTACCAAGCTTGATCATATGATGAAGAAGAGGTATTTCATTTCAGCACGTAGCTGGATCAGGATGAGTTCTGGTATGCATTCGGTCGCCTGGACTCGGGTGCTATAGTTCGATGAAGCTTGTTGTTCCGGTTAGAGCCTTTGACTGTGTTTTAGCGGACTATTAGATTTAAAGAGTTACGGATTCCGGCTTCTGGCCACAAAGGGAAAGAAGATGGGAGAATATGGATAACCTCCGGTACCCGATGAAGGGATCGGTGCCGGGCTAATGTTATATATGCTAATTTTAGAACATGGATTAGAAATTTTCCGTGGTTTTTTTTTTCTTATGACCCAGCATGTTTATACCTGTGTTAGTCTATATAACTGTTTGCTTAAATCTGTCTCCAATCTCCATCTATTGTTCTTTTCTTTCCAACCATTTGACAACGAGCTCTCAAATATCCTACCATCGTTAGTGCTCAAATCCAGAACCTCTAAGGATACCCGTCATTCCCACTTGGTTCGTGTGTGTATATATATATATATATATATATATATGCGTGTTAATGGTGGTTGTAATATGGATGTGCATTAATTGTGGACAACTTGAGAGTCATACAGCAGCCTTGTCTTGAAAGCTGCAATGATTTGGTAAAAGAATATTTAAGCATGGTGTTAAAGCACAGCTAAGCTTTTGATAATGACATCAAAAGCCATTGTCTAATTGACTTTAATGGGATTCAGAGATGATTCCACTCCTTTTGTTTTCTTCTTGTCCTGTTTTCATTTTTGTTGTTAAAACGAAGCCCAAACAGTACCAACAAATCTCCACAACCATAGCGGCGTTTTTAGAGGAGAATTAAAAAAAAAAAAGGTGTTTTTAGAAGATGGTGATGAAATGAAAAGGCTTTGATTTTCATATTTCTAACAATGCTCATCACCTTCATTGATTGTTTGTGGCTACAAGAGCTAAAGGACTCTGAACGATTTATTAACTTGAAATAATTTTAAAACCTTCCTTCAACACTCAAAAGTTCAGATTTACGGTTTTGTTCACAAAAGATATTTCACAAGTTCAACATGAAGCGAAATACATATATATATTCAAATATGAATGTACGGGGATATTTTTTAGGGTAAATTACGCATTAAATATTTAAATTTGTTCAAATTTGATCCGTTTCAGTACCTAAACTTTCAATTTTTTTCAAAGTATAATGTTAAATTTTGAACGGAATATTTAAATGAAATAAAAACTAAAATTCTTAACGGTAGGGTACTAAAATGAAATAAAAATTAAATTTTATGTATGAATTTTTAAAAATTAAATGTTTAGGTACTAAAAGAAACAAAATTAATCATTTAGATACTAAACGCGTGATTTACCCTTTTTTTAAATAAATTGCAAAGAATTCAAAAAACGAATACATTCAGATATGATATACATCCATATCAAATATTTTTTTATTTAAACTCTTTGTGGCCAAAATGAGTATTATTCCCTCTTAATGTTGCATTTACAAGATGTGCGTACATTATTAATGGTTAAGAAAGATTTTGAGCATATAATACATTTATAATCATCTTAAACTATTCAAAAAAATCTTTCAAATCTGAATAATATAACCAAACATGATTTGATTCCAAGGGCCGTAGATGCACTGATCACTCAATCATGTATATCAAATATGAAGATATAATTCTTTATTAAAAATTTAATAAAAAATAATTTAGTACTTAATAATTATTTTAATTACTATTTTTTTTTGGTAATATTCTTTTTGTCAAAATGAATATTTAAATTATTATTTTATAATAATTTATGTCCACATATTAAAAAAAGTATCGATAATATGTTTTTAATAAAATATTTCATATATAAAAATATTATTAATGATTTATCTTAAAAAATTTTTATTTTTATTATAGTTTAAGTTGATATATTTTGTATAACATAATATTAATGTGTAAATATAATTTAAATGCTATATTTTTACAATATAATTTATATAATGTACATTTTATATTTTCAAACTCACTTTTTAATAACAATCTCAAACAGTTAAATTTTAAGTTGTACTTTTATATTTTTAAAAGATCGTTTTTACGACACTTTTAAGAGATACTTTTCAAAAGCTGCTCCAAACTGACCTTTACTCGTTTCCTCATGAACGATTTTATGACTTAGCTTTTTTTTTAATAGATAAATTATAAATTTAATCATTGAATTTTATTTTCTACATTTGAACTCGAGAATTCAGATCAACCTTTAATTAACGATTTTTTTATGTGAGAAACTAAAAAAAAACTTATTAGTGCTTTAAAGCGAAACAAAAACACATTTTGTTGAATTGCAACGTGTATGGGATCCAATATAGAAAGTGGATAACCTAAAATCAAGTTCGTTGGGTTGATCTTTAACTTCTTTCAATTTTCTGGTGGATACCTTGAATTTAGGTGGATTCTTGTTCACAATTATAATGAAATTTAGGTGGATTCTTGTTCACAATTATAATGAAATTTTTATTCAGAAGCAACGAGATCCAATATAGAAAGTGGATTTGTTTCAATGTTACGGTGACAAAAGCCCCCACATCTGAAGAAGGAAACCGATTCAATTCAACAGTGATCATTCACGTTTTTTTTTTCGTCCATAAGTTTCAAGGTCTATTGAAATATCTAAGTTCAAAATTCTTCCTGCCCTTCAGTCTGAATCATCAAGGATACGAAGAAAATGGTGGAAGAAAGCACAGATGAGGGACCGGCAACTGAACCATTGCTTGTCAATAGCTACAATGGAGATGGGTTAACGTGGTCCCTTGCTCTTGGCATCACTGTTGCAGGCGGTGCTTCTTTTACTTGTGGCTACTCTGTAAGTAGCCACTGGAGTTCATCTCGCCCTCCTATTCTTTTGCCTCCAACTTGAAGAACTTTCATCTGGATTTTCTATTAAATTATGTCTACGTTTTGATTGAAACTTCGGGTTCTACTTTCTGCAAAGTGCAAACAACCCAAAAACAGTATGAAAATTTTCAGATCTTTCTTGGCTGCGATTTTTAAGTATTGGATTTTTTTCTTTCTATGCAAACTATTGAAAGTTCTTCTAAAATGTTAATTATTGCAACTTTCTATGCTTGGAAAGATCGAATTTCACTTTCTCTAACCGAACCGAAGAAGATTACGTCTCTGTTACTGCATTTTTTGTGTGTAAGTAATGACTGAATAATATTATGTTCCCCTTTCACGAACAGAGTCGATCCACATTTCCCTTGCCAAGCTCTTGGTACTGCATCATGGAACAATTTCTTATGCAATAATCATATGGCCCCAAACAATCAAATTTGGAATTAATATTTTCTTGTAGAACAGTGTGAGGAAATATAGAACAAAATCATGACCGTTTTATTTCTATCTTTAAGGCCTTATTAATTGTCACTGCCTATATTTGTTTTCCATGATTGCTTTGCAGGGTGGATATTCATCACCTGCACAGTCTGGAATCATAGATGAGTTGGGTCTCACTGTGGCTGAGGTACTGTGTTTGCTACTTGTGTTCAATACATATTCGGATACGGGTATGATAATATAATCCTACGAACACATGAAAGGACCTCAAAACACTGTTTTGGGATGGGATTAAAGCATTTTTTCTATCTCAAGATTTTAGCAGTTATTTGCCTGACCCCTCTTTTTTATTCCCCATCAATTGTGCAGTATTCAGTCTTCGGATCGATATTAACAATAGGAGGAATGACAGGTGCAATAGTTAGAGGGAAAATATCAGATTTCTTAGGTCATAAAATTGTGAGTTATCGGATTTATTTTACTTCATTAAAGCTTTTATCAAGTCTTCAGCTAATGCTTTTTTGGTTGCTTTCTTGATTCAGACATTCTGGATATTGAACATACTCTACATCATGGGGTGGCTAGCTATAGTTTTTTCCAAGGTCTTTTATCCTCTCCTTTCACTCCCTCAAGTCTTTGTTTTGTTAGTTATAACATTCAGTTAGCCTCATCGGCTTGCATGCTCTGACACGTAATCCTGAATGTCACTATTGTTTTCAATAGGAAGCTTGGTTATTGTACCTTGGAGGGCTTTCCCTGGGATTTGGAATTGCAGTTTTTAATTATGTTCAGTCTATGAGTTAATTGAAATTATGTTTGCTACGATGGAATCTCATCTTGAGATTCTTGGCCTAGCTTTGGATCAAGGCCAGCATAATACACATTAGTTAACTAATAACGTATGTTCCACAGGCAAAAAATGGTCAAGACCACGAGTTGAAAGTTTCCCTGCAATGCCTCAGAGGAAAGAATGCTGATATTTCTCTAGAAGCAGCTGAAATCCATGTAAATTTTGAACATCACATCCCTTTCGACAGTTCTCATTCCTATATGTAGAAGCCTGAACTTTCTCGTCCTTCAAATTGACTGCAATTTTGATCAATCTATTCAAAAACTTTTGCAGGACTATACCGAAAACTTGCGTCGCAGCATGGAAGATAAAATTCAGGATTTGTTCAGTCTAAAATACGCTTCTTCGGTCATTGTGAGTTGCATCAATTGATCCATTTCTCTAGGGACTGTACTATCATGTTTGATCCAAAGGGAAACTAAGATTTTTGGCATAGGTTGGAGTTGGCTTGATGCTCCTACAACAACTAGGAGATTACAAAGGATTTGCCTATTGTGCTAACAGCATTTTTTATTTAGCTGGTAAGTTGTAGGATTCTATTGAAATATGCTGCAAACTCCGACTCCTACACACCTGTATCGAATATTCACACCCGAGTTTGAACAATGTAGTTGAAAACTGCATGCTTATGAACGAACCTGAAATTTTGTTTAACAGGATTTCCAGGCACTATAGGAATTATAGCGGTTGCAGTAACGCAGGTGCTTTTATCTATTTGCATTTGTAACATTTGATTCAAAACTCATCCTGGTGTGGTCTTTGATAATGTTCATATTTTCAAGCATTTCTGGGGTAGCTATCATTTTTCATCGCACGGTTGGTGCCGGAGACCAAGGGGAGAACACTAGAAGAAATTCAAGCATCGATGACTGCAAATGTAGGGTAAGAAATCTAGAATAACAGGTCATGTTGAGAGATTCATGATGAAATGCAAAATAGAAACACGAGACAAGGCCGAAAACAATGAGCCTTTAAGTTTGGGGATTAGAGGGGAGGTTGGAGCTGGATGGTGTAAAAACAAGGAGAGAACAAGGGTCACGAGCCTGCGAAAGTGAAAAATAAATTATAAACTATACGAAAATAAAAATAAAGCATGAAAAGGAAAACAGATAACTTCACTTATGAAGATGGTCTAGTTGCTTGATTCTCAAGCCACGCATCGAGCAATTTTGATATCATTCTTAGATGACATAATCAACCAAAAATATCCAGAAAATGAAAAACCTCGTAAAACTGCTAAAAGTCTAATTAACTCTTATCGCTGCGAGCTCAGTTGCAAGGTTAATTTCAGCTAAAATCCTATTAAAAAGTGCATGGATTGAGCTTCAGTTAATATGGAAGCCAAAGAGTTTGAATCCCTCACTCTTAACTTCTTGTTTCACCCTCGTTGCTTCCTTTGATCCTTGCTCTTGTGTCTCACCATCCGACTGCCCCAACCGGAGCCGCAAATCGACATCTCTTACGGTACAAACATTGTTCGCCTCGACGAATGTGGCGTCGGGTTTCCTCGATTTGTTCACATCGATCATACAGAATCTCCGGACTTCGTTCTCCTTTCGGCTCTCGCATAGGTAGAACGAAATCACATCGTTGGCCTTCAACTCCTTCTCCTTGAGAAACCGGCTCCAACCCCTGGTGAACACGAAGCTTTGGCTGCTAGCCCAATAGCAATAACGAAACTTCCATAGCCTCATAAATTTGTCATAGAAGACCAATTCGACATCATTTGATTTACCGTCGCCGATGACGCCGTCGTTGTTCTCTTTTTCGTCTCCCAAAACCGGGGGAAAGTACTTGACAGCGTGTTTTTTCGGGACGACGAGCCTGTTAAGCTTACCGACATCGCTCGGTGTCAGCTCTTTTCCGAACATTTGTTTGTAAATTAGACCTTCTTTGATGTGAACCCCCATTGAGTTGATATCAACCTCTGGTTTGGCATTAACTCTAGAGCGAGCCTTGATATATTCCATGAACTTGTATTGGTAAGAACCGTCCCTTATCATGCTAAGGACAGCTTCAGCACTGTAATGGCTCAGAAACTTCGGCTCCTCGATCGTAATTTCGGTCCACGGAAAGTTTCGATGAGTGTCTCCGTTGCGGAACTTGATCGACGCGCTATCGTAGGCCATTGCCGCATCGATTTCGGACCTGAAAGTCCCGAGCCAAATTCGGGTATGATTAGCATATAATTGAGCACCCCATTGTCCGTTTCTCTGTCGCATAACACCTTTGAATTGCGACGAATTGCCTTTACTGCCACACCTTTTGCGTTTGTTACCTTGATGAGTGGTGCTGATCGAATCCGAAACATCTGAATCCGGTTTCGCTTCGCCGCTCGAAATCCCACTCAGTATCTCTTCTTCCATAATCTCTAGGAACATAAACCAAAAAAAAAATGACACTGATTCAAGGTTAGTAAGATGCATGTCTCGACGTAAAAAAACAAAAACCGGAATCTCCTAGTCGTCGTCGTCGTCGTCGCCGGAAACCAAAACCAGCAGAATTCGATAACTAAAGGTATGAACTAATTAAACTATGTTCCTTGCGTGGTAAGAAAAAACATTACAGCCAATCTAATGGATACAAATTCAAAAGATTGACATCATAGCATCCGTATTCGAATCTCGAACTTATTCAATACGGCAATCAAACAAATCAGAAGCAATAACTGCAGAAAATTTCATGATTCAATAATTGAAACCAACATGTAAGAAAGTAATGTAAAATTTAAGAAAACTGGTACCTTAGTAAATAAACACGAGAAACAGAATAAAGAAGACGGCTGTCTGCAAAAAATCAAACAGGTTTGGTCTAATGAGAAGTATGATAAATCCTATCGGATATTACTTATATTTAGACAGGAAAGTGCTTGGAAAGAAAGAAAGATCCCAGAAAAGGCAAGAATCTACTCATTTAATGAAAACATAACTTTTTCCATTAGAAGCTTTTGAGCTTCGTAAACTTTGTTTTTGGCAAGTACAATAAATCCATATATGTTCTTTTTAAGAATAATTCTATCAATGGAAATAAATAATTCTAGTTTATTTAAGGAAAGGTCCCTCGACTAACCCCTTTTAGTCATTCATCCATTGACAGTAACAAATTACTTGGCCTGGGTGAGACGAGCTCTGATCCAGTTCATAAATTCCATAGGAAATACCATAATCCTCGGGGCTCGGATTTTATTCTTTAAGACGGTGACACGTGTCATTGGAACTAGAGATGGACATGGGATTAGAATCCGACTAGAATTGACTCGATCCGATCAAGTTACATTTTAAAAAAAATGAATTTAGGTCGAGTCGTTTTTTAGAGGTTATGTTCGGGTTGGTTCGAGTTCGAGTTTAGTGTGAAAAATACACAACCCGATTCGAAAAATTGTAATTTTACATTATATATTTAGGGATTAATACCCCTCTATATATTATTTTTTTTCAATTAGATCTATATTTTTATTCAATAAAAATAATATTTTTTAATAAATATATTATTTCAGGTAAGGTTTGATTTTATCTCAAAAAGGCTGGTCGAGTGGAAAGTGTATGTTTCGGGTTGGGTTGGGTTCGGATAGATGATGTATAATTTTCGAGTCGGGTGGACCGGAAACCCAACTCAACCCGACCTATGCCCATACCTAATTAGAAATCTATGCTGATGTAGTTGATTTTTTTTACTTATTAAACGACCTCAATGGTAAAAAAATATTCTTATCCATAAAAATATTTGGACTCGAACAACTGTGTCTGTAAGATGTATGTTTTCAATAATTATTAAAGATTTTAAATAGATGTCATCTCATAATCACCGTAAACTATTCGAAAAAATTATCTAAAACTTTATCAAATAAACTTTGTAAGCACATCCAATCCTCAAAACAGATGAACTCAAACCTGACCCTAATTCCTATAATCAAAAGTTTATAACCACAATATTATGGGCCTTCCTATTTGCAATTATTATCTGTTAAGTGATAAATTCAGATGTACTATTTTTCATATTAATATTTATATTTTATAAAATAAATTAAATATTAATAGAAACGTATTATCAAGGACAAAATTGTATAGTATGTCCAAATATCACCTCTTTTAGCATTCAACCTCTGTTTTAAAAATCGGATCCGGTTCAATCGGAAATCGTTATCTAGTCCGGTTCAATTTAAACCTGTTGAATCATTACTAATGAACCGATCAGAACCGTTGAATCGTTCGAACCGGACCGGCTGAAAACCAGAAAAAACCGGAAATTTTATTTTTTAAAAAACACAAATTAAACCAAACGTCATTTGTTAAACGAGCCAAGTCGAACTCGAGTATTGCTGAGCTCGACTCGAACTTGAAAACTTTAAAAGTAAGCTCAACTCCACTCAAACTCACAAGTTAAAAATTATTAAGTTCAACTCGAACTCAAAATATAATATTGAAACTTGAACTCAAAAATGCTTGAACTAAAAAAAAAATTAGAAGCTCAATTGAAGCCTAAAATTCGAGCTTGATTGAAGTGAAAGAATAGTTCACTCAATGCTCACCAAAATGCTCCATGATTTTGAATGCCAAATTACCTCTATTATTTATAGAAGTTAGTTGTGATGCTCTTCTCTATGTTTCTTAGCAATGTGGGATTGTTTTGTTATCATATTTTTACTCTTTAGACTTTTGGGATGCTCTTCTATGTTTCTTAGTCATGTGGGATTGTTTTTTAAAAAAAAATTAAACCAAACAATATCATTTTGTTATGATTTTTTTAGCCCCAAATTTATTTTTTAATTATAGTTATATAATTATATTTATTATTTAATATGTTTTACCTTAAATATTATGTTGTAGTTAATTTGAATCATTTTGTTTCACTTGATTTTATGATTTTTAATTTATATATGTTATGACTTGCTTTGAATATAACTTGTGATATAAAACATTATTTTTTATTAAATATTTTTATATTTTTATTTAATTTTTTAAATAATTATGACGTCGTCCGATTCTTCTGACCAGTCGGATCGGTTCGATCGGTTGAACCAGTGAACCGATAACATGACCGGTTCGCTAACTGGTCCGGTTCTGAAAACATGCATTCAACGCCACATACTTTTTCGACCAGTTGAACCAGTGAATCGATAACATGACCAGTTCGCTAACTAGTCCGGTTCTGAAAACATACATTCAATGCCACATATTTTTCCGACCGATTGAACCAATAAACCGATAACATGCCTAATTCGCTAACTGATCCGGTTCTGAAAACATGCATTCAACGCCACATACTTTTTCCCAGTCAAAATTGCTGGGTGACTAGCTCAATATTTCAACCCTTTTTTTTATTCCACTTTGTGTTGCTCCCCGCAAATTCTTAAATAAATAGAAAGAAAAAAAAAAGTATTCAAAGTCACAATTATTGAAGAGAAAGTCAACGAGAGAGAGAGAGATCCACTATCTTCCCTAAGATGAAAGGGGTGATGATCAAGACTTGTGCATATGCTCCAAGGTAAATGACATGGAACAAGTGGAACGATCTTACCAACATCAACTAAAGAGCCGTATGAGAATGTTTATGGAAGCGTTTTTAGTTCAAAAATCCGTTTGAAACGTAAAATTAATCTCAAATATTTCATTTTCAATAAAAAAAAATCCCGTTTGAAAAGCTCGTTTAGAGAAACATTCCTAAACGAAGCCTCTTGGACCTCACTTACTTGATTCGGGGGCTTGAACCGGATCAGGATTATCTCAAATTAAATGGGGGACATGGGACACGTGCGTATGTATGAATGTGTGTCTGGGAGATGAACATGGTTTTTCTGTTGCTGCTAGAAATAGATTGGTTTCGGGGCATATAATTGATGATATTTAAGTTATTTTCTACTTACTTTGATTTTATTATGTTTAAACATGTTACGAGCCTTAAGAAATGAGCATATTCGTCATTTATTTTTATTTATTTATTCACTTTAAGGAGTTGATGTATAGATACTTAGGGTGCGTTTGGTTTACGGAATGTAAGATTACCAGTGAGAATAAAAGATTACCAGAGAATAGGATTACTGGGAATATTGTATTTTGTATTTGGTTGGTTTAGCAGGAATGTAAGATTAACGTGTTTGGTTAAAAGAATAAAAGATTATTGGAATGTATATCTGACCAAATTGTCTTTATTATATATTTGTATAATATTACAAATTGTAAAATATTTATATATTTTATTTAAAAAATTAAATTCATAATATTTATATAATTTTGTTTACAAAATTAAAAATATAAAAAAAGTTTAATGAAAAGGTAAAAAAAAATTTAACCCCTGAATTTCATGTAAAATTTTAATTATAATTTTTTTTTTGTAAATCTAAAATAATTTAATAATAAATTTGTAATTTAATTTTCGTAGAATTTTTATTATTCAATGACAGAAAAAGGATATTTTTGAAAAAATAATAATAAATTAAGGACATTTTAATCCAAAATACCGATAATATTACAATACCTAACGAAAGAGAGATAATGATATTCCCGGTAATATACTCTAAAAAATTTACTATTAATAATAAAACATTATCGAGAAGAAGATTTTCGGTCAACTTACAATCCTTGAACCCCTTAAGGTCTGTTTGTTTGAGGTATTTCATTTTCCCCCAATTCCGGTGTTTGGTTGGGAAAAGTAAAACACGGTCAAAGTAAATGAAACTACAGTCAAAGGGAAAAAGGCTTCAAAACACGGAAAACAACTTCCCGTTTATTTATTGGTAATTCATTTTCCTACACTCACTCGTTATTTCCCATTTTCGTAAAACCAGTGTACACAGGTTCCAGACAAAGCAAAAGGTAAAACCAATTTTGGGGGGTAAAATTGCTTCTTCCTCTCCCATTTTCGTTCGAAAGAATAGGGAAAGAGATTTCTCATTTTGGTTTCAAACGAAGCAATAGCAGAATAGGGAAAGATTTCTTCCATCTCATTTCCCATTTTCCTTTTACCTATTGTTTCGAAATAGAAAGAAAAAGGGGAGGGATTTAGGGCGTTTACCTCGTTTGTTCAGGTTAGTAGTCAGTTGTCGAATGGGCTAGGGTCGTCGCCGGAGTGAGGAAGCGTTGATTTACGACGGGGTAGTGGCGATCGTGCTCTTTGGGTGCGCCAGTCACGCGAGATGAGATTGAGAGAAAATGAGGGGATTTGGTTCTGTTTAGGGTCGATTAGGCTAATACGGGCGATTTGACGCCGGTTCAGAGGGAGAACGCCATAGTCGGGGTGGTGGTCGGCGATGTCTGGCCTTGGGTTCTCCATTGTGAGCGACGCCACTTGTTTTTGAGAGGGAGAAGAGATATAAAAATTGACAAAATAATAAAATCTTAACTCAAAAATTGAAAAAAACTAAAAATATATACATTTTTACAAAAATAACTTTAAAAAAAGTAAATAACAATAAATATATAAAAATAAATACATTTAAAAAAAAATAGATCTTGTAAATTATTTTAAAAAAATTAATTAAACAGTGTAAAACATTTTACAATACAACATTCAAATAATGTAAAATATTTTCTGAAAAATAATTTACATAAAATATAATTCATTTTTCAAAATTCATTGTCCGAAATTCATTTTCAATGAATATATACATTTTTGAGAGGGAGAAGAGATATAAAAATTGACAAAATAATAAAATCTTAACTCAAAAATTGAAAAAAATTAAAAATATATACATTTTAACAAAAAAATAACTTTTAAAAAAAGTAAATAACAAGAAATATATAAAAATAAATACATTTTTCAAAAAAATAGATCTTGTAAATTATTTTAAAAAAAATTAATTAAACAGTGTAAAACATTTTACAATACAACATTCAAATAATGTAAAATATTTTCTGAAAAATGATTTACATAAAATGTAATTCATTTTTCAAAATTCATTGTCCGAAATTCATTTTCAATGAAACAAACAGACATGTTATTACTTTTGAAGCTTTAAAATCTTTTATTTTTTACGTGAAATTAATACATTTTTATCATTCTCATGAAATATATGTTAAAAAAATTTAATTTTCAGAATAAAATGGTCAAATTTTAATGCAACTTTTGTTTGGATTATAACAAAGTAATATATACGTGTGTGGGTGGTTGTCAACAAATGACAAAAATCAGAAAAAAATTAATTTAATGGAGGAAAAAAAGAGTTAGCTGCTTAAAAAAATGTTGAATAACCATGAAAAGCTCGTATTTGTTTATGCAAATTAAGCACGTTTATATCATTATATGGAGTTTAGAATAATAAATGCGCTAAATCTAAATATATATCTTTATACATAACGGGTTAGTTGAAGTGGTAAACACCTTGATATCATTTAAATAATATTTCATGTTCGAGTTATTACGTATACAGAAAATCTCCGCTGTGACACTCACCAACCAAAATCAACTGTGCGACCCGGATCGATTCAAATTAGTCAATATGCATTTATATAAAAATATTTGGATATATATTACTTTGTTTTAACTCTTTTTTAAAAAAAGTTAAATGCATGTGATTCTTAAATTATGACTTTCGTTTCAATTTAATTCTTAAACTTTTAAATATTATGATTTCATCCTTAAATTACAACTCTTATTTTAAACTAATTCTCAAACTTTTGAATATTTCAATTTCATACTCAAATTCATCTAATTGTATAACCATAATTTAACGTAAATTTTATTTTTTTTCAAACATATGGTAATATAACATGACTTAACTATTTTATTAACATGGGATGTGATTAGCATATATCGATGGTTTAGATGAAATTGAAATGTTTAAAAGTTTGATGATTAATTTAGAATGAAGGTCAGGGTTTATGGATGAAGTTGAGATGTTTAAAAGTTTAAGGACTGATTTAGAATGAGAGACATATTCTGAGGATAAATTAAAATATTTAATAGTTTAAAAATCAATTTAAAATATTCAAAGAAAATTATTTTAATTTATAACTTGATCTAGAATCTCCCAATGGATAGTAAACAAATGATTATATAATTCTCATTAGATTGTCAATTTGAGATTAGAGTCAATTAAAAGCAGCAATAAACTAAACCCATTCCACTAACCGAATTCAACTAATACTATGGATTCCACTCATTCCTCATTACTATTTAAGTAATACTAATGTATTTATTTTAATTATACAAATGTGAACCCAAAAAAAATTAGTTGTGCAAATAAATAAACGGAAAACAATTTGTTTTAGTAACTCAATGAATATTTTATTATTTGTACCCAACTCTTTAATACTTTTAGTAACTGAATATTTGAGATACAAAATAAATATAAAAGATATTATACATTATACATTTATTTTAAAATGAATATTTGAATCAAATCAAAATTAAATTTTATTTGATTAATAAATAAACAAATATGTCATTTATTTGAGATAAATGAATATTTAAAATTCCAATTATTATTTAAGTTAAATTGGATATAAATAAAAGTATTTTTAATTTTTTATTAAGTTAAGGTGATTACAAAATAAAATATGTTATAAATACTCTCAGTCATTTAACAAAAAAGTTAAATCATTGATATTGTAGTCGCTGGTGCTCGAACCGAATATTTATAAAAATAACATATTTTTCTCGTATATAAAAATAAAATGAAAAACCCTAGTCATGGTTCACTTTACCTCATATATAGTAAACTATAGATTTAATTCTTGGCCTAACTCCTATCTTAAATAATAATAATCAATCATCAATGGCCAACTCCTAATCTTCAATGGCCCTCTTTTAAAGCATATTTTTTATAAATAAAAACTTTAAAATATATTAAATCACCTTCCGCTCTTTTTCTTCTTCTTTGATTTAAAACCCCGAGCTTTCTCGATTTCCCTCTCACTTCCTGGTCTCACCGCCATGTCGAACACCGCCAAGCAAGGATTCGTCTTCCTTCTTTTCTTTCTCCTCCACTCTCTGCCTCCTTCCGCCGCCCAACCCACCCTCCGAAACGGCGAAAATCCCTCTTACGCGCGTTTGAGCCCTTCCTTGGCCGCAGTCCTCGGCGTTCTGATCGTCGCTTTGATCCTTATCGTTTTCTTCTCAATTTACATGCGAAACCGCTATGATAACGCCAACGGAAGCAGCGTCAACCACGTTAACGGCGGAGCCGCCCGTTCGCGGCGCGGGTCGCGTGGACTTGACGCGTCGGTGATAGAGACTTTCCCGACTATGGTTTACTCCGAGGTTAAGGCTCATAAGATTGGCAAAGGAGCTCTTGAGTGCGCTGTGTGTTTGAATGAATTCGAAGTCGACGAAACGCTGCGTTTAATGCCTAAATGCGACCATGCTTTTCATACCGAATGTATCGACGCTTGGTTGGCTTCTCATACTACTTGTCCCGTTTGTAGAGCTAATCTCGCTCCTCAACCGGGTGAACCCGTAGTGAGTCAGCCCACTGAGTTGAACGAAACCGGCGCCGAGACAGACCTCGAAGCTCAAAACGTCAGCAGTGACTCAGAACCGGAAGAAGAAAGGAGAATAAACAACAATAACGTCAACAGTGTCGCAGAACCTCAAGTTGCATCAGAGGTTGGACCGATCGGTTTGAACCGAACTTTAAACAGAAACCGTACACGTGGATCGATATCTTCCCGTACGCGTAAACTCCTCGTCCCGCGATCTCAGTCAACCGGTCACTCTTTGGTCCAGCCGGGTGAAAGTACCGACCGATTCACTCTGCGATTGCCGGCTGAAATTCGAAACCAGTTAACAAATCAGAAGTTGAACCGGGCCACGAGCTTGGTTTTGCCCAAGGAAAGCAGTTCGAGCCGAGGATATCGAGCCGCGGAAGACGATGGAAGTAGTAGAGGCAGGTTTTTTAATCGGCTCAACAAGATTGACCGGGCAGCTAAGTCAGACCGGTGGCTTTTTAATATGTCACTTTCATTTTTTAATAGAGCGTCTTCTATAAAATCACCAGGTGCTAATGGTGAAGGGAGCTCAAGTTTTCCGGTTGGACCGCGGGCTGACTCGAGCCGTCCTCAGGTCTAATGGCCCTTTTCCCCAACAATTTTAATGTCAATGTAATGTTATATTTTTTAATTGAAAAAAATTGTTTATTAATTTTAATTTTATCATGATTAGACCATTTCAATCGGAAATTGCATTTGAATATTTCTCTGCTGATTTTTTAATAATTAAAGGGAAGCTACAATAAATTAAATTTAACAATAGGTGAATTTTGGAGTTTAAATTATTAAACTTAAGGAACTTAAGAACTAATGTCGTAATTTCTTCATTTTTCTTTGGCTTGCAAATAATGTATAAAAACACAGTATTAGTTATTGAACACTAACTAAACATATTCACGAATGTCAAATGAACATGTTCACGCACTTTAAATGAGTATGTTCGTGAACGCTAAATAAATATATACAAATATCTTAAAAAATAAATGAATGAATAAAAACACGATATAAATACCTTCGAAAACAATCAACGAACACAAACATGATTTTAATCGATGGAGTTGAATTCACTTACACCCTAAATTCAATAAAAAAATGTTAAATGAATACGTCTCTATAGAATTTGTACTTGATGAGATAACTGTATTATCTCCATATTAATTTTCTTGAATAAACGTTGAAAACGTCGTTGTTTCTGGACTCTGGAGTATATTTACAACACTGTAGCTATAATAAATTTATAACTGCGTTTTCCAACCTTATAACGGTGTTTTAAAGCGTCACTAAAACTACTTCCGGCGATAGTAAGAAATACCGCTAAAACAAACGCTGTTACAAACCTATTTTACGCATAGGAAACTGATGAAAGAGAGAGAAACATTGATCTTTGTATTGATTTAAACAATGGTTAAACAATAACATCACTGTTGCAGTTCTGCAACTGCATATTAATCAACACTGACCCTAAAAACAACTAAGAAATCTGAATATATAAAGTCCAAAAACAGAAAAACAAACAGAAAGGGCTGCGGTTTGTATATATACAGCTTCTCAAACATATATATATATATATATATTCATGTGTATATATTTTCAGATGCTTTCATTGTATATAGATGGATAGATAGCTACCTGTTGTGCAGTGGATCAGGACTAGAAGGCACTTATCTGTTAATGGTTGCAAGAAAGTCATCAGCTTCAGACCCATTACTGTCTGGATTTTCCTCCCAAGTTTTCTGAGACTTATTCTCTTCATCTTTCATCTTCTCTGTCGTAAGTCTACCTCCCAATGCCCCATGCTGTAATAAAGCTGAAATACTCAGCAACATCAGCAAAAATACCCTAATGAAACCCTTGAATACATTCTCTCTTTCATAACAAATCTTCAAATGGTAGAAATGATATATAGAAAAGCAAACCAAATCTTCAAATGGTGCCTTTGTGTGTAAAAAATTGAAAAAAAAAATTTGGTCAAATTCACTTGCATTGACAAATGAGAGGGTGTGTTTTAGAGCTTTCGAGTGTTGACATCGACCAGTCCAAAACCCAGACTATTCCAGCCAATGACACTCGATTTCCAGCAGATCAAAAAAAAAAAACTAACCTAACTCAACTATTGTCCCCCAAGGGACCTCATTTTCAGGATCTTACATTTGACTCCTCAATTGGGTCTGTTTTCTTCTTTGTTACTTTTGTGTGTTTCAAAAACGGGGGGCTTTGCCTTTTGAAAAAAACAAACCACACGCGCATACATAAAGGCATCTTCATCTTTTTCTGCTGTAGGGTTAGGGTTAAATATTACTTTAAGGATGGTTTGTTTCTTCTCATGGACTTTTGCTTAAGCTAACTATGTAAATTATGATTATTGTATCAAAAGTCCAAGGTTTCGTAATGCCTAATTATAACATTATTACAACTTGAAGGCTTGGCAATAAGAGAGAAAACAAGGCCACATGTTTTTGACTTGAAGGGTAAACTTGAAAATAAAACTTATGCGAGCATAATTTGGCATCACTATATCACGTAGGGGAGAATATTATGTATCGAAGAGGTAAGAACATGAGTACCGCATCAAAAAGAATAAGAAAAAAAGATTAGCCTTTATGGAGTTCAAAAACTTCAGGGACGATCGAGATAATTTCCCCAGAAATACGGCTGATGTATCATTCCAACAGAAACAAGGCAGGTTATATTATGCAAATACTGGGTGTTTCTTTCCATTCTAGAATTTGACCTAACTTATTATGGAAGCAACAATAAATATCTGAGTGATTAACCTATAAGAGCATATCTAGAATTTCTCTATGAATTACAAATGATGCCACATTTTCACTTTATCCTGCAAATTGTAACTGATATTAATCTTTTCGCACGCTTTTTAATCTACCCTTCGTGAGCAGTAGAGACCTTCGGATAGCGAGTATAAGAACCCAGGTGGTGGCCGTGATCTTCTCTTTGATCATCAGAAGCAAAGCTGAGCTTAATACCGTCTTTGTGATCTGAGCATCTAATCCCTTGAAAAACCCGAGAATCCCTTCGCTTCTCCAGATAACACTGACAATTCCTGGCAATGTTTTGCGGGATTTTGGGCGAGGTCTTTTAGTTTTATCTCCATCGTCATCATCTGGATCTGCAGCTTGAATCATTACCTTACACCTGCATTGAGTTGGCATACATATAAGTACTCCTGTATAGTCAAAAGCATGGTATGCTTTTATAATGCTTTTGAGGGTTTGGCTATGCACCTGATTGCAGGGTAAGTTATAATAGTTGCAATACTCTTCGATATTGCGCCCAAAAAGAAAGCCGTGAAGGCAGATAGAACTACAGGGGATGAAGCATGGTCTGCTTTGTTTGATTTTTGCTTAAGTAGCCGTTGTTTCAGTTGATCGAAAACTGTATACTGCAGTTTTAACGTACTACTAGCCTTAATTTTAAAGAAAATAACGAGAAAGATTTAAAGATTAAGGTTCGAGTCAACAGTGTAGAACCTGAATTGCGGGGTTGGAGGTCAGCAAAAGAGAGATGCCAAGGCCATCGAATGCGTCACTCAAGGTGCCTTCCGTGAGGGTCTTCCAGAGCCTTTCCGATTTCCCAAAGGCACTTGTCTGCATCCTTGAGGCGGCTGTATCCAGGGGCTACAAAATGATAAATGGTATTCAACATCGAACTCCGAAATTAAGTTATGCATGTTCCTGGATTATGCAATATTGTACTACATGATAAAGAAAAATACTTGAAACCGTAATGGCACAACATCATTATCAGAGATAAGTCGTACCCTTTGGTTTGCTAAACTAATACCATAATCGGGATCTATAATTGCATTCTAATCATCTAATGTTCAATGGCCTGAAACGTTTCATCTTCAATTCATCTCAATATTATCAATGGAAATAGTCAAAAAGAGTAAAATTTTACTCTCTTTTCTGATATAACCCTGCCTTTGCAGCCACCACATGGAAGGAAAGGATTTCATATTTTTCTACCGCATGGAATTCTGTCAAGACAGTTGAAAACAAAGATGGTACTATGTAGTCTCCCAATTGCATATACTAGGTGAGGATTCCATATTTTACATCATAAAATTCAATCTCAACGTACTACGCAATCAATGGATACGACTTACGCTTCGATGGATACAACTTGGATAGAATACATATTCAAAACGGAAACTTAAGAGACTTGCCAAATGATGTCTCACCTGAGTGACAATAGCTGTACAAGCCCCTGCTGCGGCGGCGAGAATCAAGTTTGATTTCGTTCCAATCGACTTGAAACCGCTCTTTTCTAGGTACAGTCTTTTGAAGTAGCTATATCCATAGAAGTAGACAAATTGCGCAATGAATGACTGCAGGTTTTTTGTTCCTAGGCCCTGGTACAAGGAAAGAACTTGTCGGTTTGATACTGCTTCCCATAACACATCGGAGAGATTCCTATGTTAGATAAGAAATCGAGATCAGACACTGAAAAGCTCAACCAGGAACTTGAAGCACTGCCAGCGGGCTGAGTAGTATATCAACGAACATTCATCGATATCAAGCAGAGGAACAATACTTTCATTCCTATGAAGAAGGGAAGAAAATCCAGTATCCTAAGCTCAAGTTAGAATAACCTCAATCAATAAACCAGAACACTACTAAAATGTTACAGCAACCTCCCCAAAGATCTTAGACGACTTTGAACGGATAATTATACTAACACGAAGTATAGTGATTACAAAAATCGTCTATTAATACGGTGAATTTTGTTCCAATACTTGACTATTTCCTTTCTCAGTCATCACTGACCAGCTCCAAAGAGTTAGACCAGAGTCAACTCTTAGAATGAAATCAAAACCATATAATCCAATTCAATTAACATGCATATCTCTTTATGCTAGGATTAAACTAATTTTAATTAATAAGCAAACCAAACCCATATTACGAATAGAAAATTTTAATCACTCTTCTATTCAAAACTTCTTGTCTTCCATTTCTGACTCAATTCATAAACACAATAGCAATAAAAGAGAAGACTTTGATCCTTTAAACCTCGCCTATCAATTATTTTAAAACGAAAAAAAAAACCATATTAAAAAAAGAAATCAACACATGAATTCAGCCACTAACGGATAAAAGAAGCGAACTTCAGAATTTCCTGGATCATGATCAGTGATCACAACTAAACAAAATAAACCCATAATCAAAAACATGTAAAAGCAGAGAAAAAAGAAATGGGTAACCTGTATTTTCGTTTTCCATGGGCTTGAACCTCGGCTTGGTACTTGGTTTTGCAGGTATCGAGAGGGTACAAAATCGTGGTGCTTAACAATGATCCTATAGCACCTGAAGTTGCCTCCGATATAGACTCCAAGTCAACACCCATGTTCAAAAATTATTCTCTATCTCTGTTGGGCTTGACCTCTGGAATCTGGAGATTAAATCTATGAAATCATTTGAGATGGCTGTTTTTATACAAGGTATATATAGGGAGAAGAAATGGAAGGTAGCTGGAAAAGGAAAACTTAAACACGAGCAGCCGAAGATGGTATAGAATTATTATATCAATTGATGCGGTGCCGTTTCTCATTGGTATTTGAAAAAACGTGGGATTCTCCGTCCATTTTAACGGACTGGAATTAACGTCGTTTGTTTGGTTGTCTTTTTGACATGTCCGTGACTTGATAGTGTTTAATTAGTACTCTTATTAGAATTTTGGATATATTACGCATTTAATACCTAAATTATCAGTTTTGGTCTGTTTTAGTATTTAAATTTTATTTTTTTTAAAATCATACATAACGTTTAATTTTTTCTTCATTTTAGTACCCTCTATTAAAAACTTTAGTTTTTTTTCATTTTAGTATCATGTTCAAAATTTAATGTTAAATTAAAAAAAAAATAGATACTAAAACGGATCAAAATTGCTAGTTTAAGTACTAAACGTGTTAAATTTTTAACGATGGGTACTGAAAGGAAATGAAAACTAAACGTAAGATATTCTTTTAAAAAATTAACAATTTAGGTACTAAAACATATCAAAATTGATAGTTTATATACTAAATGCGTAATCTATCTTATAATTTTTTTATTAGTGAGCATGACTAAAAAGTAATATATGTTTGAAATATTTTTAATTTTAACAATAAACATGCATATACTTGTATAAACGAGATTTCAATGGATAATAATAATCTTTTAATTACTAGAGTCGCCTAATTATTTACCCTATAATTTTTTATTAATAGGTATAAATAATTCACAATAAGCATTCATATACTTGTTTCAATTTTATATTTGAAACCGAAATTTCAATGGATAATAACAATCTCGATATTTATATAGATGACATGTTTTATTTAAAAAAAAGAGAGAACATATTTGCAATCAAACTGAAGCTTGAATACAAATTGTAATTAAAATAATATTTTTAAAATTAATACACTAAAAATTTAATTGGTCGATATTTATATTATTAATTAAAATTGAACCACAATACACCATTTAGCTTGATATTAATATAGCATAATAATTTTTAAAGAAATAAACTAAAAGATTGGAAGGATAGGAGCTCTGGAGGAATTGAAATTGTCCAATAAATGGTGGTTAAATTTTTCACATAATCCCAAGATGGACCAATTTTGGTTGTTAAAGGAACTAATGAATATGACCCTTAACATAGTTTAAAAAAAATAAACTGGAGTCAAAAGGGATAGGCGACCTAAACGGTGGATAGACGGGTCTTGGGCCTTGGCTCTCCCAAGAATTTTGAAAATAAATATTTAATCCTTTAAATTATTTTAAAATTTTAATTTGATCCTCTCAAAGATTGCATTACTCTATTATAACATAAAGTTGAATGTAATATGAAAAACGAGTTAAGGAAGAGTTATTTTTAATTTAAATGCAAAATACTATTTCTATTATCATAGCATATATTAGTGGTAACACAAGTTCTTCACCCTTGACTAAACTTCGCGTGTAAGATCAAAATTGAGTTTAAAAAACATAATATAAAAGCTGGAAATGAAAATTAAATTCAAACGAAATCTTTCAGAGATTTGTAGAAGCCAATTAACAATTTCATGTGTATACTACACCAACTATTTTGATGTCTAAAACGATACAAAACAAATTTTAATTAAAAAATTAAAAAAAAAATCAACAAATGTGTATAAAAGGGTTTGAACTAAAGACCACTACAAAAAAAAATCATTGTTTTGCTAAAAATTAGAAACATCTTAATGCAATTCACATTGTCTTGGTGGGTGGTTTTGTCTTCTAACAAATTTGGTAATTGAACTTTACTCTTTTTCTTATCATATTCACTGTATTTTAAATATTTTCAATTTCCTCACTAAATTTAATATATTAGATTTTTTAATCATTCGGCTATTTCCTCACTAATGGCGTTATGACGTGGCTTTTTTGTTGTTAACGGAGGAGTGACCAAAACAATCCAATGCATAAAGTTCAATGGTTAAATTGAATATAATTAAAAGTATCATGTGTGAAATCGAGAGAGAGAGTAAAGTTCAATGATTAAATTTATAATTTACCCATTAGAAAATAAAATAAAAAAATACTACCACACAAACGACTGAGTGATCAGAAAACACAATATATTAAGTTCGGTGAGAATTAAAAAAATTTAAAGTATAATGCGGGAATAAGAGAGAGTAACGTTCAGTTACCAAATTTGTATTTTACCCTAAACTATGAATCGTTAATAATATTCTGGAATCAACAACCAACTCCACAATCCAATACCATTGAACTTGTTTTCACCCTGATATTTCCTTAAGTTTTTATACAAAGTAAACACGAGAACGTGTACTCTGCGGAAACCTATTAATCATTGCTTCACGGTGAAGCAAAGAATGATGAAAAAGATCAACATAAAGGGGAACGGAACCACGATGAAACCATATATCGAATGCCTAAATAGATTTAGAACCTGACAGATTCGATTCAGAGGAATCGTTCGACAACGTTACCAACTCTTTCTCTTGCTGTTCCATCAGAAAGTTCTGAGCAGTTGCTCTTACAATTTTCATGAACAAGTTCAGCAGCATCAGCCATACGACGGTGTTCCAAATCGAAGCGATGGATAAATCCCACTTGTTCAACTGTAAAACGACTAGATTAGCTTCGGAGGCATCCTGCATATGTTTGCTCATAAGCTTTCATACTAATCAGTGTATACATTACCTTAATGTTTGCATTAACCGGAGGAGAGGGTGACATGTATTTGTCCCTAATAGTATGCAGTTTCCCGATAAGGTTCGGCACGACGTTGGCTAGTCTGGGAATGAAGCTGAGCACTCTAACGAACTCGTTTTCAATGAAATCGAGAAGCTGATAGTTGCAAACTGAGATGATAAAAATTGTCTGCAATACCAACCATAAAATAACATCAAGATTTCATTTTACTTGCATTTTGAGATGATATCTAGGACTTTTTCATAACTGAATGTGAGTTTTGATAATTGCCTTTCCCAGTAGTGTTGCTAGAAAGAATTTCCAAAATGTAATACCAAATTGCCCGCACATGATACAGGCAAGGTCGAATAGTGGATTTGGAACCTGATATAGCACAGAGGTTCATTACCACAAATCAGAAGTACATTACCATGATTGCCTACTCTTTCATAGCATCGATCAAAGTTACAATCATAAGTACGGATAAAATTGTGAAGAAAAATAAAAAAGTTCCGAATTACCGAAGCAAGAACTAAAATTGTGAAGAAGTTCAGTATTGGGAGTGTGAAAGTAGCCAATTCTTGGTCTGTTTCAGATGATGGGCTGTGTTACTACCATCTTCCATTGGAGAGGAACCGAAATCATTCATGATATGCAACTTGCTACCTGATATCCGAGCTGCGAAAGCATTGAAGTCGGAAAACAAAGATTATGAACCGTAATCCATTTCAAAACAAAAAGAATTTGGGAAATAATGGAAGTGTGCAAGCCCTTGATACCTGCTCTAGATATGAACTATGGAGGGAGCTCTCCGAGTGCAGTTCCAGTACCCCATAAGATGGCCTCTAACTGAACCTGAGGCAATATGCTACTGAGTGGAACTCTTGAACCACGTGCTGATGGGAACAATGGAGGTCCATATTCGGAGCAATCTTTATTCAGCCATGAAGGACCGGTGTTCAGTCTAATTGTGTAGTACAAAGCAGTTTTTAAATCAACACGGCCACATTGCACAGCTTTCATAGTAAAAAAGGCGATGTGTGGACCCAAATACAACACAAATGTGTGCAAACCAGATCCTAAGAGAAATAGAATAGATTCAAAATCCCATAGGAAAAAAAAATCCATGTGTGAAGATGAATTTATTGAGAACAAGAAGAAACTTGTTCTAAAGAAGAAAAAAGAATACAATAGCAATACCAAAGTAGAGTGACAGCTAATCTAGTGAAGCCATTATAACCATCTATTCAAACTGAAATGCCAATGCAATTCACCATCGAGGTAAACTTGCATGGAAACTATGAACGGATACTTCGAAAGCAAATTTAATGTCCAAGTTCTAGGATGTCTTCCCCTACATGCCCTACAGATTCGGTCCTCAAGGATTTGTCACCAGCAAGTATGCCTCTCAGAGTCATTTCACAAGAAAAATGTTGATTAAGCCAGCTAGATCAAATCCCAGCCAGAATGTAAATCGATGCAAGGGAAAGGTCATAGAACCCGTCCATTTCACAGATCGTACGATGACCTTGAATATAATAGCAGCAGTAAAAATCTGATAGTGACAAAGTAGAACTGCCCTTACCAAGACCAATTGATGATGCAACCCCATGGGCCAACCACCAAAGTCCAAATTTAACATAATGAAAAAGCTCTTGAGTCTGTCAAAGTAACATTCTTTATCATAACATAAAATCAAAATACTATCGCAGCTTCCAAGTATGCATCGAAACATTATCATGAAATCAAACTGATTACTGCAAATATTCCTATTCAATCCATTTCATAAGCAAAAAACTATAATCAATATTACATGGTTTGCACTTCCAACTTGGATGACAAAAGATATTCACCCAACTATAAATTCCTCAAAGTAATATGAATCACATTATCTTTAACTTGCAATAGACCTATTACGTGGACTCAAGATGAGTGCTGGATATGGGTACAACTCTAAACACCAGTATGTTTTTGTTCAAATATGTTTTGGGCATGGGCAGTGGCCCTCTATTCAGGGTAGTCAAGTGCGCTCCCTGAAATCTGAATTTTCTTCAATCAGATATCCATTTTATTGATTGTGCTCCGTAGATGTATGTTCACTCTTAAAAATATTATTGGATCCGCAAATGGTTATGGGTATCAAGGATGAGGGCTTAAAAGAAAATGAGTACTATCAACCAAAACACTAGCAGCAATTTGATCTTCCATTATTTATGTTGAAATATTAACAACAAGCAAAATAGCATAAACAATATCTGATATCATCATTCATACCATTTCATGAGGTTTACCAACGGTGATGACCAGAATCCCAATACTTCCAACCAAAGTGCTTGAAAACATGAACCAACCAGCTCGAGTTTGAATTGCTTGATGAATCCATTGAGTAATAGCAAAGACAAAAAGTTTCAGAGTTCTTAAGGGCTGATTTGTTAATGTAAGATTTTCCAATTCTGCTCTGTGCTTCTCACGAAGTCTTACAACATAAAAATATATGATGGTAATGGCTTACTCCTTCCAAAACAAATATAAAACCACTGCCGTCCAAATTAGTACTCCATAAATCAACAGAAATTTCCAAATAAAGAAAAAAATGAATTAAATCCTATTTAACAGTTCAGCTCATTTCTTATTTAAATTGATAAAAGAAGGCGAAAACAAAAGAATATACAGCAGTAACAGGGGAAACACCGCGAAAACCAACACTTAAATCAGAAGCAAATGATTTTCCCAGGAACCAAACGGCTTTGGAATTGGAAAAAGAAAAACAGAGTCAGCGAACTAACCAGAAATAAAGAGATCCCGAACTTGGGTGGTCGCCATCTAAAACAAAACAAAAGAAACAGAGATCGCACTCTGAGAATTCTAGCTTTTTGCTTAATTTATATAGTATTCATACAATTAAGAGAAAAAACAAACCAAAACTGATTTCTTCGAATTTAAAAAACAAATCAGAATAAATTATTTATGGGAATATTTACTGTTTGAAGACGAAAGGCTCTTGAGAAGTGGACATTAGAGTTTGTAATGGGGATTGTGATTGTGACAGAGGCCACGCACCATTGGCGTGAAACAGAGGAGACGGAGACGGAGACGGAGGGAAAACAAACAAAAGGTAAGGGGCTGAATTCTCTGTTCCTAAAGTAGAGTGAGATCCGTTGCAGCCGTTGGCTTAGGCTGCCAGGTCAGCATGTTTGCAAAACCAGCAGAATAAGGACATGTTTATGTGTCCCCAAGGTAACCCATTTTTTTCATTATTTAATTTAGGGTTATGGGTAAGTAGGTCAAGTCGAGTTAAATTTTTAATCTTTCTGAATTTAATTCAAAAATTAAACATCTTTATTTGTAGATAATTTGATTTCGATTTAGTAAAATTTGTTTAACTTGATTTTTTAAATTATTTCACATTGATTCGATCTAACATATATTATATATATATATGATTAAAATCCACTTATACAATGTAAAATTATTTTTAATTTTATATCTTTTTAGGATCGTTGGATTGAGGAAAATAAAAGATTGAGATGAACCCCTTATTTTTTTTTCTAATTTTCTAGTATTGATCCAAAATCTTTAATTTCTTTCATCTAATAGTCTTAAAAATGTATAAAATTAATATATATATATATAGTATAATTAGATCCCGCCCCATATATATATATATATATCACTTATTCACTTGGGTAAAATAAGAATAAAATTAAAAAAAATAACTTGGGTAAAATAAGAATAAAATTAAAAAATAATATAAAAAAATATTATTATAATTTACCATTAAAGATAAAAGAGATAATTATAATATTATATTAGATCAAAAATTTCCATCCCAAACTTTCATCTAACGCAACCATATCATATTCTTCCATAAATCTAACACAAATCAACTCGAATCCAATTAAAAAAACCAACCTAACCAAATTAAATCGAATCAAAATCCATTAAGTTCATATCAAATATCGATTCCTAATTAGATTCATCCAATTAGATTGGATTAATATTGATTTCTCTTTAAAATGAGATTATGCAATTGTTGGCTTGAAAATTTTGAATACAAGTATTTGAAAATAATTGGTTGAGCTAGCTCTGGAGATCAAGAAGTTGGTCAAAGAATCTGACCGTGTTGCCTCAGTAGGATGATGGGACACTGAAGCCATTGGCGATTGAATCGACCTCGCAACACCCAAATGGGGGTCAATATGGTGGTGTTAGCAACGTTTATACACTTGCATAACATGGAATTGGAGGTTTATACACCTGCAGATTCATGCCTAAGGCACCCTCGAATGCACCGAACAGAGTCGAATCCCGACCAGGTTTTCTTTAAAACAATCACTGCTCAGCGATCGCATAGATTCTGTCTATACATTCGGCGGATGAGATTTACCTGGGACAAAGACACCTGAATGGACATCGGACAATGACAACGACAATAGATTTAAGAATGGTGTTGGTCCTGTTAATTTGCCCTACACCTTGCTCTATCCTACATACAAGTGAAGTTGAAATCACAGGCAAGGTAAATGCAAACATTTGGGATCTATTCAGACCATACCTAAGCTCAGATTCAATATAAAACATGTCCATATAGAGTTGAGAAGACAATATACCAAGAAACCAATCAAAAAGCAACTCAAAACATTAATTTGAACAACATCCATGACTGATCAAAATCATAAAGTAACAAGCTTATAATCAAACCCTTAAAACTTACTACAAAAACTAACATATCTTGGAAGCAAGAACAAAACAAGATGAACCATGTTCGGACCAATATAAGACTCAATTGTGTAGCAAATCAGTCTCCCTTCTTCCTGAAAGAGCATCCCTCGGTGAGTCTAGCTCGGCCTCCTGTCGGCTGGCAAAGAACAGTCTGACAGTTACCACACACCACCACGGTTTGAGAGTGGCTAAACACAGTTGTTCTGTCCACAAAACAAAAACCAACACAAGATTTAGACAATATGATCAATTTAAGACAAATCACGTTAATTTCAATGATCAAAAGACAATTCAAACAATAAAAGAACTTACATGTTGAAGCAGCCTTGACATTTGACATCCTTAACAAGGAACAAAAGAACAAAGTTAACAACCCCAACATATTTATACGCGCAGATGTAAGATCTAGATGAGAAAGAAATTACCATGAAGAAAGAATTGGGGGACTGAACGAGACGCTTGAGCTTGTGCTTCTTCTTCTCGAGCTCTGCTGGAGGATTCAACAAATCGACATCGTTTTGGAGAACCTAAAAATTCCAAACATCCACAAATCAAGTTCAATTATTAAAAAAAAAACAAAACAAGAAGAAGAGACCAAGCAAGAGATTGAACGGACCATCTTGGCTTGGCCGCTAGATGTTTCAAAAGCAACCTCAAAAACCCTCGAACGCTTAGTAGGCGGCAAAGGAGGAGGAAGAAGCAAAAAGCAATGTGATCACTTTATATGTAGAATTGGTTGACCTAAGTCGGTTTAGAAAACCCAGTAAAGCCCAAGGTTTAGAACATCGATCCAAACATTTTTCCAACATTAAATTTGGGTTTTTGTTTGAGCCCGGTCTTGTTTTAGAAAGTGAATTTGTTTTCTTTCTTTCTTTTCTGGATTCAAACAGAGAAACAGGCAGCCCAATTCAAGTGACACCCACTAGGGTTGAGAAATTAAATATTTTATTAAAAATATGATAAAAGTTTTAATTTTTTATTATTAAACCATAGCCATTAAAGTTAGACGTTGTATTGTTTTACTCACTAAATTATCAAAAAAATTAATTTTGACATTAAGCTGCTTAAATTGATTTTCTTTAACTTTGGACTGTTGTTTTTTTATCGTCCTGGTGATAGTTTGCAATAAAATTGAAATCAAAACACTCACAATTTCTCATCTTATTAGAATATGTGAGCTTCAGCAACACATCATGCAAACCGTAACGTGTCGTATGACGCATAATAAAAGATGCATTGATCTTAATTAAAAATTCGATACGATACATGATGATCAATAAAAAAATGATGATGATAGAAAATACAATTGAATCGTATAATGACATCAGAATAAATTAAGAATACGTCTTGCGAATAAAAGAATATAACAACATAAAAATAATTTCTGAATATATATGTATAGATATTCGTTTGCTTCATGCATAATGTAGGTTCAAGAAACGAATGTTTATCGTACATATAATATGTAGGAGGACATAAAATCGACTAGGTTAAAATATTCAATAACCTATATAAAAGATGGAGCTCAAAACTCAACTTTTATTGACTAGAATTTGGGACCTAAGTTAAAATGGTACATAGTTTAGGGTCAATTTGTAAATAAAACCTTTCCTTTTTTCGGCTGAAATCCCTTTTTAAGACAACATGATGCAGGAGCCAAGCCAAAAAGGCTAACATCCGGAGGTCTCCCTCTAAAGCAACATTAAAACGTTTCTCAAACTCGAAAGTCTTGCGTACGTACATATTTCTCTGGTCAAATTCAAATCCGCGAGCCAAACACACAGGAAAGGCAAACAAAAACCGGCGAAGATGGCGGGGGCAATCTCTGGCCTCGCGTACCCCGACCGGTTCTACGCGGCGGCGGCTTACGCTGGCTTCGAAGGGTCTCCTAATCCCAGCAACAAGGACGTTGTCTCCAGGTTCTCCAACGACACCGCTTTGATCCTCTACGCCTTATACCAGCAGGTAATACCACCATTCTCTTTTCCCTTCTCTCTTTGTTCATTGGATCACGCCTTCTCCAATACGACTCCGGCTTGTTAAGTTTTTGCTGATTTCCAGCAATGTGATGTTTATCTTAATTCGGGTAAGGATTTCTTATATTAGAATTGATCTTCCATATACATATTTAAAGCATTTGAAGTATAATTGTGGTAGATCTGGCCTTGCACTCTGAATTCAAGACAATTCGAATGTTGATCTCTCTAATAATTGAATGAACATTTATGTAGTACTTGAAATATTTAGCTAGCTCATGTTTTGTTAGGTTACTTATTTGCTGAAATTCTATGTGGTTTGCAGGCTACTGTAGGTCGTTGTAATGTTCCGAAACCGAGTTTGTGGAATCCTGTTGAACTAGGGAAATGGAGAAGGTCTGCAAGCTCATTTGCTTCTATCTGTAATTTTACCTTTGTAGTCTTGTTGTTGTTGTGTTATAATGGTTATTTTAGTTTATTATGGTTATGCTTAAGGTGATAATGTTCTGATCTGTTTGCTCAAAGTGGTGCTAATGGTGGCAGGGTTTATTCGGAGAGATGTGAATGGATAGGCATATATGTGGGTACAATGGGTTGATTTTATTAGTTGTTTCAACATTTGGTGACATTGCTGCATTGTTCTGCGTAGTATGTGTATATATGTGTATATAAATGTGCTTGTTTTTTATGTTTGTCTATTGGGTAATTCAAATATTAGATGACCAAAGCAATTTATTATGTCAAATACATGTTGTGTGTAATTTTTCATCTTCTTCCTTTTTGATAAAGCTTTTCACTATTAAATCAGCTGGCAGCAGCTTGGAAACATGGTTTCTACAGAAGCTATGCGTCTCTTCGTGAAGATATTGGAGGTTTAGACCGATAACTTTTTCTGATATTTTTTTTTACGTATATGAATGATGAATCAGTTTAGTTTGAGGGCTTCTCGTCCAGGAAGAAGAACCAGGATGGTTTTCACGAGCTTCTAACTCTAGCTTGGAGCCTGTTACAGATGTACAAATGAATGTGAGTAACCTGTTACTTTCTCATTTTTTTGTTCTTATTTTGATATTTCCCATGATCTGTTATTTTAACAGTTTTGGTTGGGCAACGTTATCATATAAGGGCGCGTAATTCTGTTACAAATCTTCTCAACTTTTAGAGGAGTTTGTGTCTGTACAATTGCTCTTTTCGGTCTGTAGTTAAAATTTAAATGAGAGAATCCATGTTGCTCATTGGAAGTGCTTTTATAGAGGTTTGTAGTTCTCTTCACTTTCTTTTACCTTTCAAACTTGTTTGCATGTTCACAGCATAATTCAAATGTTGAGCCCATCATCGAGAATGGGAATTCTTTCGCTGAGATAATGACAATTACTGCTGAAAATGGAGGAGTGATGGAAACTCAGGACAAAGATTTTGTATCAGAAGGCCTTGGTTTGGTTGTTGTATATGATCAATGGATTTCACCTCCAATAACTGGTCAACATCCTAAAGGCCGATATGAGGTATTGATTCTTTCATTTAAACCATACCTTTCTTCTTCATCTTTCCTTTTTCTGCATCTGAAGAATGTTTGCTCTTACTTGTCAGCATGCAGCAGCAGTTGTGGAAGACAAGATGTATATACATGGTGGAAATCACAACGGTCGTTACCTAAGTGACCTTCATGTAAGTAATTTGTTTACCTTTTAAACATGCAATACACATTATTATGCAATTTCTGCATGAGTTGTTTTTGTAACATCTTATATTATATTCCTTGTGCAATTCAGTTTAATGCATGGTTTTGAACTTGAAATGAAATATTTCTAAATTGTAATTCTCTCTTTCCAGTTCTTTGCATGGCAATTATAATTTAATTTTGCAGTCTTGATAAGCTTTGCATTATTGGTCATAGACTCTTGTATTAAGCTATTTTTACATGACAGTTTTCATGTCCCTAACTTAATGTTTGATACAGGTTTTAGATTTGAGAAGTTGTACATGGTCAAAGGTTGAAGATAAGATTGGATCTAAGTCGGTGGAACCTCCATCTACTGTAAATATAATCCCTTGTGCTGGTCACTCATTGGTTAGTAGAGAACTGACTTTCTTGTTATTTTCCTTTGATTTCTCAAAAGCAATGTTCTCTAAGGAAATATGCACATTTCTTTAGAATATGTTGGATAAATTTTCTTGTATACATGCTTAACTCTCTTTGCCCTTTCTACTTTTTTCCTTGTATACTTTGGAGAACAAGTTTCTTTAAATTTCTGGCCATAGAGAACCGAGTATCTTTTTATTTTCCTTTCATTTCTCAAAAGCAAAGTTTGAGTGCACATTTCATCAGAATCTGTTTGCTAAAAGTTCTTGTATTCGTACCGGTTGTCTTTCTGCAGTTTTATTATTTAATTCTCTCCCCTCCCTCTCTTCTATTTTCCCCATAGATACCTTGGGAGGACAAGCTTCTTTCAATTGCTGGCCATACAAAGGATTCTTCTGAAACTATCGAGGGTACTCGTTCTTTCCCCTTATAACTATTTGAAATTTTGAGAGTATTTTATCTCCATCTTTCTTCTTGTTTTCTTATTCTACTGTTCTGTATTCTTATGGCAGTGAAGACATTTGATCTGCAAACCGGCACATGGTCAACATTGAAAACTTATGGAAAAGCACCGGTATTTATCTTTTCTTCTTGTTAACTGTCTTTCTTTTCCCTGTACCAACTAGAAAAAAAATACAGCACTATATTTAGAAACTATAGCAGGTTCATGGTTGTTGTGGTTTTCACAAAGAATTAAGCCAGCCTTCGGATTTTTTATGTGAATTAATGTTTCGTGCTCAATTGAATATATTATCTAAGAAACTGAAAACTAAATAATAGAATGTTAATTGAAAAGCGATGTTTAGCTGAAAATTTATAGACATTGGTATGGTTGAACAAAGGCTGGAGGTAAACCTTGTGAAGCAAAAATGTTGACTGCATATGTGCGTTTATACAGTTTTCTGCCCATTTATTTTCCTCATGGTAGGTTTTTCTGAAAATTCTTTCCTAATAGTTATGAGTTTTTCACCCTAACTTGAGTGTACTGCAGGTGGCTCGTGGTGGTCAATCTGTGACCCTCGTTGGAACAATCTTAGTAATATTTGGTGGACAGGATGCAATGCGAACGTTCTGGAATGATCTACATATACTTGACCTAAAAACCTTGACCTGGGATGAAATTGATCCTGTGTAAGAATATTTTTGGCAACTTTGGTCGTGCACTGTCTCTCCACACTCCACATATGTTATTGGATGTCTTCATTCTTCTGTTAAAGACGTGCTTCTGATACTTCTAAAGTCTTTAACATGGAGATTGTAAATGATTTTACATTTGCTACCTTCAAAATATCAAAATCTGGCTTGAGCTAGGTTTGTTGCAAAGCACAAGCAGTTTGGTCCATAATTTTGACCTAATAGGTTCCACTATCATACCATCCATCTGATGTTCTAGTTTCTATCTTTTTCCTAAGACTAGCGTGCTATCAAAACTGAATTCACAATTACGTTAGTTTCATTCCAGTAAAGAACTTATTATTTAAATTACCAAAAATGCTATATAATACTGATATTGAGGTTGTGGTCCAAAATTACTTCAAATGCATGGATTCTTTTTTGTTTTTGGTACACTGACATAGGACATGCAGCATACTTGAATCCAAATTCTGCTTTCTAGTACTATATCTGAGCTTCGTTTCTGTGTAACTGATATGTAATCCAACCTCTTTACAAACGGACATTTATGAAGTAAAATTCACATGATATAATCATTGTATTGTACCTCTATTTTCAGTAGTCCCTTGTACCCAATTATTTTATAGATTGGAACAGTTATATTCCACGATAACTCTTGATATTTGTTTATTATCATCGTCATGCAGGGGGGTACCTCCCTCACCGCGGTCTGGACATGCTGCTGCAGTACATGCAGAGCGTTATCTTCTTATTTTTGGTGGGGGTTCACATGCTACTTGCTTCAATGATTTGCATGTCTTTGATTTGCAAACTGTAAGATAATTACTCTTTTGGCCTTTTTGCTTGTGCTTTTGAGAAATTAGTGTATCTATCTTTACGTATTTGGATTTATAGATGGAATGGTCAAGACCCAGACAACAAGGTGAGTTACCCACTCCCAGGGCTGGCCATGCAGGAGTGACTGTTGGGGAGAACTGGTTTATTGTTGGTGGTGGGGACAATAAAAGTGGTAAATGTCTCACATCGAAATCAAATAGAAGATTACTATTGTAAATTTTTCTTTGGTTGATTTCTCATTAAATGCTTACGTTAGAACTACTATAGTTTATAGTTATACTGTCAAGTGTCTCCCTTTTATATGAAGATAAGAATATGCTTTAGTGGGATCTGTTGATTGCTTGAAAAAGCTTACTTTTGATTACTGCTCCCTGATCCACATTGCTTGTACTACTCTCTTCTTCCAGGGGAATCCAAAACTGTTGTGCTTAACATGTCAACCTTAACCTGGTCAGTTGTGACATCAGTTGAAGGGCGCGTTCCTCTTGCTACTGAGGTATTTTACATTTTACACGTTCTTGTTACCTGTAAAATGATTACATCATACATGTGGCATGCGGAAAATCTTTGTTTATACTGCGCATCATATGTGTATTTGTTTGATTGTGCCGGTAATGTTACAATGGGTCAAACTTCTCAATTTGGATCAACAAGGACTGTTAGAGAAGCCTATAAATAAAGTAGATTTTCTACGTTTGTTACGCTTCTCTGTAATTATTATGACCATTTGACTGGATTTCTTCAGTGACTTGTTCATTATGTTTTCTCATCAACTAACTTCATTGGCTTTATAAATAGGAGATAACTTCCAGTGTCATCGATTGAAGATACAAAGTTTCTATCTAATTGTCTACATTGTAGGGTTTAAGTCTGGTCGTAGGCTCGATTAATGGGGAAGATATACTTATATCTTTTGGAGGATACAATGGGCGCTACAACAATGAGGTATAGATGGTTTTAACATCTTTTTATATGACTTGGCCTTTTCGTTACTATATATGATCGTTTATGGTTGGCCATCAGGTTAATGTTCTTAAGCCAAGTCACAAGTCAACCTTGCAATCAAAGATGATAGAGGGTCCTGTTCCGGATAGTGTCGTGACAAATCCTACCAGAGATTTAGAATCCGAGCTTGATGTTGATCAAGAAGGAAAAGTACGAGAAATTGCCATGGATAATTTTGAGCCCATGGTATGTAATATTTTGATAGTCAATATCAATTCCATTTAAGCTTCGTTGAAAACCTGTGGTTGAAATCTTCTAATAGAAAACACATACTTGCTCTGTTTCATATATCTGACGTTGAAGTTTTTATGTGTTCAGGTTCTCAATTTCTGTTTCGTCGGTTTTCTTTCTCTCAAGTTTATTGTGTATGCAGAAATCCAAAGGTGAGGAGACTGGCGAGCACATTCTAGCAATGCTCAAGGCAGAGAAGGAAGAACTAGAATCATCACTCCACGATGAGAAATTGCTGTCTGTCCAGCTAAAGCAAGAACTAGCAGATGCAGAGTCTCGAGACACAGATCTGTACAAGGTATAGTTCTTTCAGATGTAGAATGGCGTTTCACGTAATTTTTCGACTGTTTCAATCGTGTAAGTTTGAAAATTTCAGCTTAGAATTTTTACTAACTAAATTCCATTTACATCTTAGGAGCTCCAATCCGTACGTGGTCAACTTGCCTCCGAGCAGTCAAGATGTTTCAAATTAGAGGTATATTTGAAACAAGAGAACAATGGTACATTGCTTATAATGTATTCGACCTGTTTTCCTTATCGAAATCAGCAAATCAGGTAAGGTTCACTGATACCGAAAGAATTTGAAATATATCTCCACTTGGCTGTTTGTATGGAATTCATTTGCCAGATAGGGTATCAGTCTACATTTAAATGAAAATTTTGTTTGTACGAGGACACTTGTATCTCTCCAATGTACTGGACTCTGCTTGTTGTAGGGAAAAAAGCCTCTGACTGTCTTCTTGAATCAACAGGTGGATGTTGCGGAACTGCGACAGAAGGTTCAGGTAATGGAAACACTAGAGAGGGAACTCGAACTCCTGAAGCGACAAAAAGCCGCATCCGAACAAGCTGCCTTGAATTCAAAGCAGCGGCAGGGCTCAGGTGGCCTATGGGGTTGGCTTGCAGGGAGCTCTCCACAAAGCGATGACGAAGCTGAAAGCCTGATTTAATAGTGCTTGCAGGAAAGTGATACCTGGTGCAATGTTCTATCCACATGGTCGTGTATTCGAGCCATGGAAACAGCCTCTTCCTGCAAAAAAGCTGAAAGGTTGCAGACCTCAAGCCTCCCCCAGATCTTACAATGGGAACCATATGCATTGGGTACAATTTTTCATCAAAATTTGGGTAAAATATACGTTTTTTTTATTCTACTAAACCTGGTTCTTTCTATGATCGGAATAAGAAGTCTAGTTAGCTCAAGTTAATGCCTTCGAAGGCTTGATACATAATTGGCCAATCGATCGTAATTTTTATCTCGAGTAACATGTTCAATTAATAAATTACAAACTTGTTTCGTGCTCTTTCCCGTCTATCAAAACCTGAAAATCAACATGGGGAACTCAAAACAGCCTTAAAGCAAACAAGAATGAACTAATCCTTTCACACTGATTTCAATCTACTAACATCAAACCCTGACATTCAGATCAGGACGCGACTATCAGCACCTCGAGTATGAGATTTAATCTTTTCGTAATGCAAATCATATATCAAGGAAACAGAGAGGCAACGATGTATTAGGTTCAATGCAAGCAAACCGAGTAGGAAACATTGACAAATCCACAAACCAAGTTCAACGTAATCCTTTGAAAGAAACAAACTAGAATTCAATAGTCATTGACAAAAAAAAACATTTTCCCCTCCCACGTTCAACTACTGCTGACGGACTTCAGCTTTCTTCTTCTGCCAAAGCCTGTCAAGGGCACTGTCGGCATCACCCTGCAAACATAAGCAAATTAATACTTGAGACACAAGTCAACTTCATCATATGATCTTTTAAACGAAGGAAAAAAAAACATCGCAAAATTAATAATCCAGACTTCAGCGCAACAGCCCAAAACAACTAATTGGCTAGTAGAGAGCCGCCAACACAGACCTGGGCACGGACAAAGCCGCAAAGAGCAAAAGTGGAGCATGTTCCGGTGTATCTGCTGAGCTCGTCCAAGTGTCCAACATTAATCTGAACCGAGGCATGATCCTTCGAAGTGATCAGCCTATTGGTGGCCGAACTGCAACAACATACATATAAGCTTCCAACACAAGCAATGTATAAGAGCAAACGTTATGAAACAGGGGTGACCGTCAGGATCAGTACCATTTTCTGGGGATGTAAAGATCCATGTTTTGACCCTCTTCATTCTGCATCTTTGAAAATTGCTTAGACCAACAAGAAACCCTAAAAGCTCAAATCACCTAATTCAACACCAGTTTATAGTCATCAACAAAAAAAAAAGCATGCCCAGAAAAATAAAGATTAGGTAAATTCATTTCAACTTCTATGCCCCGAAAATGAATTCCTAATTCGAAAACCATAAAGAATCAAACAAACATTTCTAGATAAAACCCCAAACCCAAGCTTAACTATTGTTGTTTAAGAAAACATTGACGATCATGTTTATATTAACATTTTAAGAGAGAAGAGAAATGCATGCTTGTCAGAACACTCAAGTAACATACAATTTAGATATATTTAGAACTTTGAAACATGAAAGTTAAATCCAGATAGAGAGGGAGATGCACAAGATGAGAAAGAGAGGCTGCTGCTGCTGCTGCTGCAGCAAATGAGGTCTAAAGCTCTTTGTTTGGTGAATTATATGCGAAGAAAAATAAGCCCTAATTTCTTTTCAGATTTAGCCCATTTGTGAGTATAAATCTGATGTGTTCCGAACTGAGCCCGTTTTGCTCTTTAAATAATACGTTTTTTTGGCCCAATAGGGCAGTCCCAAAAAAATTATAAAATAGGACACATACACTTTTATTTTGGGATCTACAATATTTTTTACAGATAAAAAATATTTTTATTGAAACTCATCACCTCGACATAACGAGTTCCATGAAAACTGTAAAAAATACAATAGATCTCAAAATAAAACCCGGGTGCCCTAATGGGCCAAAAAACCCGTTAAAATACTGCTCGGTCCATTGAACTCAATTAGAACCTACTGTTTGCAAGGGCGAAAGTCCAAACCCAAACATGTTCTTTTGTTTTATAATCAAATCTAATTCTTAAATAAACCCTAATCAAGATTATTTTGTTTGTATAATTATATATATTTAATTTTTTTAAAAATTTAAAATTTAAAATTTTATCTTATAATTTATTGTTAATTATAATAAAAAAATTCATTTACTTATGGTTTTTTTTTATTTTCTAAAAATTGTTTACTTGTTACATCTGAAATATATTTAATAGAAATAGCCGGTCTAACTTTATATTAGTAAAATTTTAGTAGGGTAAAATAGGCATAGATTAGCAGATTATGTGGTGGTTAAGCAATTTTGAAGGTGAGTGTAACTTGTGTGGTTGAAACTTGAATGAAAGGGGGTAATTTTTTTTATTATTAATGTAGGTAAGTAAAATGCATTATCTGCTTAAAAATAGCTCTCAATCATTTGAAATTAAAAGCTCACACATCTGACATTCCTATTGCTTGAATCCGAGATCTCAAGTAATAACAGTAACTCGTTTACCACTGAAGTCGTTCGATTCGTGCAAAAATTGATAAATTTGGATGACAATAACATAAGTAGACTCTTAATTAGTATAAAATAACAAAACACCCCTAATGTTTGATTATAGTATCAATTTGATCTATCTCTCTTTGGAACATATCACCCTAACATTTCATTCTGAGTTAAAAAAAAACTATCATCATCTCCCTCCACGTGTTCTTGTTAACTCTTGACATTGAATGATGGATTTTTTAATTAAAATGAATCGTTTGGGGACAATATACTCCCAAAAAAATAGGGATTTTTTTTTACTCAAATCGACACTATTGTCGAATATTAATAATGTTTTGTTGCATTATACCTTCTTAGTTTCATCGACGCGTTTAGGGCAGGTGAGTGAGCGGACTCGGATTCGAAAACACTTAAAATGTATTTCTATCGATTTTGTTATTATTAGGCGTTTTATCGGTTTTGTTAACATATCCGATAAAGTACTATCGATTTTATTTTTTTTTCTATTAATTTTGTTATTATTGAATACTTTACCGAAAATATTAAAAAATATTAATATTTTATGTAGAAATTATAATGTTTTAAATAATATTTTATCGATTTTATTAAAATAACAATAATAAAACTGATAGCGCATTTCTTTAATGGAGTTGCTTGAAATACTTTCTCACTTTATGTTTTAAACCTTTCTACCGGAAGTCAAAAAACAAAAACAAAAACTCTGGTTTCGCGGGTTACCTTTTTACAGAGTTTCAGCTTTATTTTTGCCGTAAATTCCGACATCCCTTGTCTTCAACTGGGTCCCATTGTATCTAAGTTCAAACTATTTTATCTTCTTTTATTGGTTTAATTAACATCTTCTATTGTAATGTAAATTTTAGTATTTCTTTTACTTTTTTAAAATTACCTATATCTAAATTTTTAAATAATTTAAATTAAATATCATAAAATTATATCATCAATATCTGATTTATTTTACTCAATTATAATGTTATTTAATGAAATTTAAAAGAATTGTCCGTCCAGCTCAGTTGATAAGAGCGCAAAGCTCTTAATCTTGTGGTCGTGGGATTGAGTCTTACGGTGGACAATTCATAATTCTGACTGTCGGAGGTCTACCACGGAAGATTCTCTCAACCTGGCGTTGAGGGCAGCCTACTATCCTACCTCCCCTTACCCCATTACATATGGAAATAGGATTAACTAATTTTTTTATATATAAACAAAATTTCTGGTTAATATATAATTTAATGAATAGAATAAAAGTGGCATTCTTACAGCAACCGAGCAACACATATAATAAAAATATAAAATTAATGGTTACTTGTATACAGGTCATAATTTGTATTTTATTGCATTTTTAATAATATAAGGGAAACTATACTGATAGTAACTTTTAAATTATTTAAATTCGATCACTGAACTTTTAAAACTCACATTATAGTCATTGAATTTTTAATTTGATTATATTTCCATTTATATTTATTGTTATCTTTTGAGGTTTCAGGTTCGAGCACCGCGTATACTAGGAGTACGAGCATTCGTTGTCAAATGATTGAGAGTCTTTGAACATATACTAACTTGTATTTATCCCAGAAAGAAAAAAAGCGTGTTTCTTTATTTTATCGGTGTATTATAAATTGTACTTGGTAAGGACCTAACCATGGACTTTAGAAAATCCCAGGGTCATTTGCTAATAATTGTACATGTTCCTTTGGCCACCACTTGAGGACTATTTTTTTTTTTTGAGTTTTACTTTTGAAGCATTCTCACTTTGTATTGTTTATGAATATCCCACTCATAATCTCATATGGCCAGTTAGGTTTCGTACATTTTCAATTGCATATAGATTTTAGTGTCAAAAAAATTAATACATTGATTTTTTTTTTGAAATTTTGAGATTCGGGTGGGATGAGACATGTTATATAATAGATAGGTTCAGGACAAGAAGAGGCTGAATTAGATTTAAGGTAAAAAATCAACGACCCAATCAGATATAAACCCTTATATATATATATATAATAAATGATTATATTTATATTATTACAAAATATCAATATGTCATGTCAGAATTTTAGTCTAAAAAAAAGATGAATTTTGGGTTAAAGAAAAACTTGAAATTATCAGTACGAGACGAGATCGGATATAAACTATATATTTTTGAGTCAAGGTCGAAGCGATCAAAAAACCGGCCCAGACAGTTCCATGCAACCTTTCCCATCCCTAAATATATATTGAATTTACTAAATATATATAAAAAAGTTATGAGTTTAAGATTTATAATAATTTATTGAATATAACTCATCAAATTATTTGAATGATAAAAAAATATTATTCTCCTTAAAATTTTAAATGTAAACTATGTTTATAGAGCGTGTGTTGTTAATGACATAAATAGATTGAAAACAAATATAATCTTATAATCACCTCAAATTATTAAAAAAATACAAATAAAAGCTATTTTATAATCACTCGACGATTATAAATGAAGAAAATTTAAAGGTTGTAAATATAGACTATTTTAATTTATATTGTATTTTTATTTTTAAAGATTAAATGTCATATTGATAAATAAATATTGTTTTTAAAAAAGTGAAAATATTTTATCTTTTTATAACTGTCATGCCAACAATTTTAAATAAATAAATAAAAATTTAAAAAAATAAATTAATATTTTCAGATAAAATTAAATTATGTAAAAGTATAAAAAATGAGCTCATAAATGTAAATACAAACAATATTTTTTTATTTAAATTACTTTTGGATATTTAAGTAATTGGTGTATATAAATCTGTTACACAAAATATTTTTTTCATTAAAATAGGGGAAATAGTACCTTCCTAATTTGTATAAAGCATATGATTAAACCACACTAACACTTCATCCCATTTTCTAATCGAAATTGATGAGAATATTAAGTGCAGAGGAAATTCATGAGACAATAATAGAGAGTTCTTCAAGAACCATCTACGTACCCAAATTAAAGCCTATTCTTTCAACAAACATATAGTAAGGTTTGATAGAAAGTTAGATCTGATTTACTTGGAGAAAAAACAATAAATTTATTTTATAATGTTATTTCAAAGAATTTTATAAAAAAATAATTATTAAGAGTTTATGTGCGGTATTTTTTTAATAGATTAAGATGACTATAAGGTAGTATTTCTTTAAATTTTTTCTTAATTATTGATAATATATACACTCTTTGCAGATACAGTTGCTCGAATTCAAAACCTCTAGATGAAATGATACTCTTTTTTACCACTAAGGTCACTTAATGAATTAATATATATAATCATTATATCCCTAGTCAATTACAATATATAGAAAAGACGCATGTGACTTACTAGAATAAAATTTAAGGTGTGATCATCAAATCATTTTTGCTTGTTCAGCGTACAAATAACTATCATTACCATACAAATGGTACACGCATGAAAAACCACTATAAATATTAGAGATGGCAACGAGTCGGGTTGGGTCTGATTTTTTTCAACCCACCCAATCCGAAAATATATATTCTCCATCCGAACCCGACCCCATCCCAAAAATATATATCCTCCACTAAACTCCGATCCAACCTAATTTCTTAGAGTGTAAATTCGACCCGACCCGATATAAAATAAGGACTTAATAAAATAATAATATTTTTAAAGAAATTACGTTATTATCCCATATCGGATCGGGTCAGAGTTTTCTCACCATCAACCCGAACTTAACCCGATCCGACATCATTCTCTTAAAGAATTTGACCCGACTTGATCCAAATATGATTTTTTTTTTAAATCTGACCCTATCGAATCGGAACCTGTTAGGTTCGATGAAGCTCGATTGATCAACCGAAAATGAGCTAAGAGGGGGTGAATTAACAATTTAAAATTGAGAAAATAACCTCATTGACCAAAAATGCCTTATAATATATGATTTTAACCAACTTTTTTTGGATTTGCCAAAATGACCAACTAAATCGCAATGCAATTATTCAGGAAACAATTAACAATCATGCACCTTAAAACAATTGAATCAGCAACCAATTGCATTAGTATTATACGATTAAATATGTCATAATTAAATGTCAATCTACAATCAATCGCGGTTATTGCAATTTTAAGCAAAATATTCAAAAATAATATCACTATTTAAGGCTCAATCCCACATAGCATTGCGATTTAGTTGGTC